TCTGAAGGTAAAACTTCACGTGGCTTCGTTAAATCAGCCGGAGCTACTGCAGATGAAGAACCCGCTGACCCTCAGGCTGGAGAACCGTCTGAAGCTTCATGAACCGGCCCACCGTCGGCCTCTCTGAGCAGGAACGAGCCTCGGTTTGATATCTGCAGCTCCTGGCTGATGTTTGCATTCATGTGGAGGCTCAGGACGACCTTTGATCTGAGTCTGAGCTCCGTAAACAAAAGCGAGAGGACAGAGCGATCAAAAGAGGAACACAACTTCTGAATAAACCTGAGAACCGAGGATCAAAGCGGCGAGATGAAGAAACGCGACGGACGGACGGCGGCTGCATCCGAGTGTTTGTGGACCGAATGTTTACCGTCGGGGGGGAAGGAGGCGTTTGTCAAATATTTTCAGGTCGACGGGTGAAACGGCGTCTTCAGGACCTCAATATCCAGGAGGTCCGCGCATCAAAACATCCCCGCGTCTCCCAAATCCAACAGAAAGCTTCACCTGTCCCCGATGGGCCAATCAGAGGCCGGCGTGTGGAGGTGAGCAGGAAGAAGTTAATCAGCTTCGATCTCCTGCGGCTCTCTGCAAGTCAGCACATCTGGAATATCATAATTATTGATTCGCTCAGACAACGACTGCTCTTCTTTTTTTTTTCTCCTTCCCGAATATCAGAACTAAATGATTTGCAGGTTTCTGTGTGGAGCCGAAGCCGACGGGTTCTTCAGCTGCTGTGTCGGTGATACCTGCATTAAATATTCACCACAGAGCCCCGCAGCTATGCACCCTTCAAAAGCCTCCCTCCTGCATTTATTTATTTAAAAATTTGTTTATTCCTCCTCTCATCTCCCTTTGCCTCCTGTTTTTTTTTCTGAAGCCACACAGAGAGCTTCCCGCTGACAGAATGTGAGCAGCACAAACACAGAAATGCCACCAGGACGGTTAGCAGGTTTCACTTCGGCTGAAAGAAACCACGACTTCGGGGACGGAAGGGACGATGAAATGTGGAGATACGGCGAAGAGGCGACGCCGGAACGCCTCGATGCAATATCACTGAAATGTCAAGTGGTTCTTAAATTGCATCACCTCTCAATAACGGCCGTGTTTCTTATTGATGTTTGCTCTTGTGAAAGATGAACAACAAACATTTTAGGA